GCTCCCTTCTATCGTTGCTACAAGAGCGCGTATAGGTGATTCTCCGGTCCATCAACAAACGTCGAGAATGGGATTTTAGGAACATCATACCTTGCGTAGCAGTGTCGGCGGTGTCGGTGTCGAGGTTCGAGGACCGTTCCCCACCACGCTACAAGAGCGTGTATAGGGTTTACCCGCCTCGTCGTATGCTTCGCCACCGGGCTCCCTCCTACCGTGCTACAGAGACCGCGTATAGGTGGTTTCTCCGCGTTCCACTTGCAAATGTCGAGAACGGGATTGGAGTTTAGAAATTATACCTTGAGGTCCGGTAGTGGCCGTGGACCGAGGTAGGAGGGTACGGGAAAATCAGGCGGGTAAGCTCTTCTTTCTTTCCTTTTTTTATTTATTTATTTTTTATTTATAATTAATATAATTAAACTATAAATTAATAATAAATTATTTTTAAAATTAATTACTTTAATTAATTCATAATTAAATTAACTAATTAATTTAAAATTTATAAAAAATAAATTAAATTATTAGTATAATTAATTCATAATTAATTATAAAACATAATAAATTTAGTTAATTTTAATAAATTGCTATTAATTTAAAATTAATTAATAATATAATTTAATCTTATTATAATTAAATAAAATTAACTCTAATAAAAATTAATTATAATAATTTAAATTTAGAACTAATTTTAGAATTTAATTTATAATTAATTATAATTTATTAAAATAATTAAAATTTAATTAATTATATTAATAATTTAAATTATAAAATAACAATAATATAATAAATAATAAATAAAAATTTCTCTCCCTCCCCATCTCTCGGTTCGGCAGATTCGGGATTTGGCCGAGCAAGCGAGCAAAGGGGAGAAAGTTACCCTCACAGCCGGCGGAGCTCCGGTTCTTGCTTCCGGATCTTAAGTCGTAACTTCCGGCCACGAAAACAGGAAGGGAAAAGTTGACGGAGGAGCGATGTCGGACAGCCAGGAAGGATGCCGAAGAAACGCACGGAAGGCAGAAAGTTATTCTCACGGCAAAAGCGATTCCCGCTCCGGCTTCCGAATCAAAATGCGGTAAAACTTTCCGAATTCCTTCCAGGAAGTGTCGTCGAAAGGAAGCGAAGTCCGGACAAACGAAGAAGGGAGAAGTTACGAAAATCACAGCCCGGCGAGAAAACTTCCGCTCCTTGGTTTCGAAAACAAAAATGTCGTAGGCCTTCCCCGATCCTTCAGGCAAGGCGAAAACTCGCCGGGAAGAGAGAGTGAAAGAGCGAGGGAGAAAAATGAGTTGAAAGGAATGAGAGAAAGAGAGCGGGAGAGGTTTCTTGCCTCTTTTCTTTTCATTTTAAAGGACACAAGGTCGGTGCGAGGTCGTGGGAGAAAAAATGACTGTCGCGGGATATTCGCGATTTGGCGGCGAACGACGTGTGGGGCAGGTACAATTTTTTTCTCTTTTTTTTTATGCTATTAGACAGGTCAACAACAGCACTTGTGGCAAAATAAGGAATTGGTGGATGGTGAAATGTGCATCGATTATAAAGCCACTTGAGCAAAAACTAATTTAGAACTACTGTCAACTATCACATTAGAAGAGTTGATAGATCAAAACTAAAATTTGACCGAGTAATTCTTCAAGCAAGATTTGAAGTTTGGATTATCAAACATTATCCCAGTCAAAGAAGACAATATACCTACAGACTGGCTTCAAATGAGACACAAGATGAACAAATGGCAGGTGATGCCATTGGACTTCGAAAATGCGCTAAAAACTTTTCATGAGATTGCGGAATGAGGGTCTTGGCACCGG